GGAGTCCGGGGAACCTCGTATGGGTGTCCCCGCCGCTGCGAAAGGTTGTTCTTCGTCTTGGCGCCTTACTTGATACTTATATTTTTCTTGTCTAGCCGGTTTTCTTTCTTGCAAATTTCAACATGAATAGCATGCTCTTTATGACCTAGACCGCTAAGATGGTGGAGGCGGAGATGAAGGCCGCTAAGGGATCGAAGGTTCAAAGCAGACTTTGGCCAAAGGTGGTAAGGCAAAGTCCGATGCCGCCAGAGGAGGAGGAGGAGAAACAAACCCTTAAACATGTTAAAGGGATGTTTATTCAACATTATAGAAGTATCAACATTATAGAAGTATCAACAAACTCTTAAACTGCTTTTGCTGCTTAAGGGAGTAGAAGCATAAGTTGGAGTGTTTGAGTCAAAGTGCAGAAATACTTCTGGTGCTGTAATTTACTTCTACAAGCAGTTTTTTTAGAAGCTGGCGGAGACCAGCTTCTACTTCCGCTTCTGCTTCTGCTTTAAAAAATAGAAGTAGAATGAGTTCCAAACATCTCGAAATAGAAGCAATAAATAACAATTTTGCTATAGGTACCCCAACATCACCCCATTTTGTACCCCCATATAAAAGCCTACTTTTTTACCATCCCTTTTACCCTCTTTCCAAAAACCCTCCCCCTCCCCCACTTTTCTTCTCCTTCCCTCCCTTTCTCCTCCATCTTTTGTTTTCACGCAGCCCCCTCACCCCTCCCACTTCTTTCTCTTTTCTCCAAATCTTGATTTCTTCTCCATTTCAAGATCTCTCCCCATCAAGTCTTCTCATTTTTACAATCTTTTCTCCCCCCAAGCTTCTTCTCCTGCTTCTCTCCTCTTCTGCTTTTTTTTCATTTCAATGGAAGAGCTACAGTAATCGGACGAAGGAGAGAGCTCGGTGACGTGGGGAGACAACGACGAAAGTGCATATCAAGAAACTTCAAATGACTTGAGCAAATCTACTTTTCTTGATTATTTTCTTGATTTTTTGATGTGTTTTCAGAAAAAAAGGGTTGTCTTCCCTGACAGACAACTTGTAAGTGCAATGTCTGTATTTGTTAGTCTAAGAGAAGAGTATGTTGTTTTTCGTCATTTGTTTGTATTTTGTTTGGCGAACAGACAATTTGGAACTGCAATGTCTGTCTAGCATAAAGTGAATGTGGTTTCATAGTTGTTTAAAGTGAACATGATTTTATAGTTGTTAGAGTCGTACATAAAATGTGTGTGTGGCCAGACAACTTTAAATGTATGTGATTTTGTTTGGAAACATGGTTGTATTGGTAATGTAGTTTTTATATAAATGTGTGTGCCTTTTTTCTAAACATGGTTGTATTGGTAATATGAAGACAAATGTGGTGAATGAATTACATATGTAGTCTCTACAAGGAGAAGAGCAGGGTTTCCTATTAGGATTAGGACTACTCTCTGTTTTACAGCCAAACGAATTTTGTCTTGGCTAGACATTTGTAGTCTAGGACAATTAGAGTCTGTTTACTAACAGAGATATTTTCCAGTTTTCCAGAAAACTGGAAAACTGGAAAACAGAAAACATGAAACGTGTTTACCAAAGAAAATTGCTGGAAAACTAGAGAAAGGAAAACAAAAAAATGCGTTTACCAAACCGTTTTCCAAAACGAAAAAAGTGAGACATGTCTCTCTTTTCCTTAATGATCTGGAGAAGTGACTTTTACTAGTTTTCCAAATTTGGAAAACGCAGATGCTAAAGGCCGCTGCAATGAATTTGCATACTTACACCCAGTGGTGGGTCCGGTCCCGCTCCGATGTCGATTCCATTCTAGTTACTCCATCCTCGTACCTTACCCCTTACCCTACCCTACCCACCCAACCCCCACCCCGCATACCCCTTTTCCCTACAATGACCCTACCCCCCTACCACATGCCCCTACCTCGGTCCCACCCCGATCCACCCTACCGTACCGCCACCCCCTACCACCTCAACCCCACCCCGACCCACCCTAACCCTACCTCACCTCATATATTACCCCTTACCCCTACTGTAATACCCGAGATTAATTTAAGAGGATTAATAGTACTACTCATACCAACAAGATGCATCTCCTTTTAAGGGAGCTCATCACCAAGAACTCCAAAGTTAAGCGTGCTTGCACGAGAGTAGTCTTGGGATGGGTGACCCCCTAGGAAGTTTCTTAGGGCGCGCACGAGTGAGGACAAAGTGCGCGGAAAAGGCTAGTGGCGGTTTGTGAGGACAGTACTAGAGGTCAGAAGTAACTACCTCGGGGCCTACGGGGCCGGGGTGTTACAAATGGTATCAGAGCAACCCTGCGACAGTGTGTTGACCCGTTAGATATCGGGCAGGCACTTAGCGGGGCAAGATTCTGGGGTTTGATTGAGAGTGTTAAGGGCGCAACGAGGACGTTGCGATCCTAAGTGGGGGTGATTGTAATACCCGAGATTAATTTAAGAGGATTAATAGTACTACTCATACCAACAAGATGCATCTCCTTTTAAGGGAGCTCATCACCAAGAACTCCAAAGTTAAGCGTGCTTGCACGGGAGTAGTCTTGGAATGGGTGACCCCCTGGGAAGTTTCTCAGGGCGCGCACGAGTGAGGACAAAGTGCGCGGAAAAGGCTAGTGGCGGTTTGTGAGGACAGTACTAGAGGTCAGAAGTAACTACCTCGGGGCCTACGGGGTTTTAATGTTAAACGGTGTTTTAAACCTTTTGAAGTAAACATGATCTTATAACATTGCTTATTTTATGCGTCGTTTATTAACGCGAGTCTTAATAAGCACCATTTAGTAACCCGTGAAGTAAACATGTTAGTCTTCTGGATGATCAGAGAGCTGGGTGAAAAAATTGATGAACATGTTTTCAGATTTGAAAATGGAAAACTAGAAAATAGAAATAGAAAACTGGAGATAAAAACTGAAAAATAAAAATAGAAAAGTGGAGAACAAAAAATAGAAGTCGAAAACAGGAAAATATCTCTGTTAGTAAACAGACCCTTAACTACTCTCTGTCCTACAGCCAGACAAATTTTGTCTTGGCGAGACATTAGTAGTCTGTGCCAATTAAGTACTCTTTGTTGTATAGCCAGACAAATTTTGTCTGGGCCATACATTAGCAGTCTGGGCCAATTAAGTACTCTCTGTCTTACAGCCAGACAAATTTGTCCGGGCCAGACATTAGTAGTCTGGGCCACTAAACTACTCTCTGTCTGGGTATCGATGGTATTGTCTGTATGTGTAAAGTTATTATCTTTCTACATGAAAATAATGTCTGTATGGTTATCACTATTGTCTGTCTATATATATATATATATATATATATATATATATATATATATTGTTTGTCTATTCACAACAAAGTAATGTTTGTATGTGTAACCTTATGGTCTGCATGTTTATATTTAATGCCAACAATGGTAATCACCAACAAACTAATGTTTCAATCTAACTCCTTATCATTCTCACACTGCGTTAATACAGGAATGGTTGATGCTACATACAATTAGTAAAGTGTATCATGTCAAAGAAGAAAGAAAGGTTGTACATTAATGGTTGTACCATATTCCACACATTTTGTAGATAGACATTCATAATGTTTGCAACTAGATTAAACAACCCACAAAAATACATTCTCACGTTAATAACAATTCCTATGCTTTCTCCTCCTTCTTCAATCGCCACAAACGAACAACGTATTGACATCTCTTGTTTCACATGTTTTCATACTCATAATCTGGAATCAACTGCTTTCCCATGAACAGGTGCTCTGCAAAGGAAGCCACCATCACTCCACATTCTCCCGACCTGTAGACAGACAAATCAGAAGGAAGGCCATACACTTTATATCACATTAGAGACAATTTGTTGCAATACATTGGTAGAGAAGTCAATTCACATGACAGAAAACTACATCCCAATTTTAAAGAATTCCAAATGACGTGCAAGACAATTCAAATGGGTTGACAGACAACTATTTTCACATGACAGACAACTATAAACCAATTTTAAACAATTCAAAATAAATTAACAGACAACTCCAAACCAATTACATAATATTCAAAATACCATGACAGACATCTCAATATCATCACAGACTAGTCTAAATATACACAAGTACTTCACAATTTCACCAGACAAACAACTATTTTCACATTACAGACAACTCAAATGGAATGCCAGACAACGCTTTTCACATACACATTATGAAACCATGCTCAGCTAGACAGCGTTGCACTTCAAATTTGTCTGTCAGACAGACATCCCCTTTTCATGTGGAGTTGGACAAAAAATACCAAAAAATGAGGAAAAAAGATCATCTCACCTTCGTCATCAACCTCGTCGCTTGTGAGGACACAACCGTTGGTTTGTGGGGGTGGTGACGAAACAATGCCTCACATGACGGATGGGATTTCCCCCGATCTCTTCCGCCAGAGATCTGAGCTATTCACAAACATAATGACAACTTCAAGCTATTCACAAACATAATGACAAACAACACTAAAATTACAACTCTATTCACACCAAGATAAAATCAATCCAACAAAAATAGAACAAAATCCACACCCTTCAGCCATTTGTGTTAAGCTTGTGCGAACCATGGAGCTTGAAACCTTCACAACAAGTGTTTACGCCTTATAATAGGACTGAGCCAAACAAGTGCGAACTGGGTTGGTTCGTGGGGGTGAGGACGGTGGTTGGTTGTTTCATGAGGGCGAGGACGGCGATTGGTTGTTTCGTGGGGGCGAGGACGGCGATTGTGGAGGATGGGTTGGGAACCGTTGAGGTTGGTGCGGGTGGGAGTTTTTGGAAAGTCGGTGAGATGAGGGGGAGATTTGGAAGTGGAGATGAAGGGGAAGGTTATGGACAGGTGAGGGAGGGGAGGTGAAGTGAGGGGGTAATTTTTGTTGGAAGGTTTTTATTTGGGGTACAAAATGGAGTAAAATTAGGGTACCTATAACAAAATTGAACAAATAAACAAGGAAAAGAAATACTCCTACTACGATCTAGGTATTTTTCGTGAGATAAGACTTTCGCGCATGGTGTGAGTCATAGCCGCCTAGACTTCGCCCACAAAATCCGACCCGTTAAACCAAACGACATCCCGCGGCTCGGCGATGATTTTCATTCACCTAAAATTTCCTCTCTCGTTTCTCTTCTCCTTCTTGAACTCTACTTCTCCTTCCGATTATTATGGCTTAGAAATATCTCCTTAGTTCGTTACAAACCCTAATTGCGTCATCTTCGTTCTCCCTTTATCGCAGCCCTACCCTCGCAAGCGTATGAAGTTTGACTGAATTGTCGTAATCGGCGGGGTTGTCGTGCTTATTCCGTTTAGATCTTGCAGATCTGCCCTCGATTTGGGTAAGCTTTTCGATCGAACTTCATAATTCTTTATACGATCAATTTAAACAAAGAAATATTGTTTTTGCCTTTCTCTGTTCACGTATTAATATATTATTATGGGGTTTTATGATTTCTTCGATAGATTTGGGGGTTTTAGTGTTCGGATGTCTCAAATAAATTCGACAGTGTTCCAAATTGATCGAGGTAACCATAACATGACTGGTTGGATCTAGGTTGACCGGGTGGGGTCGATAGTTTGGTAGGGCAGTTTGAGCTATTCACCTAACATTATTTCTTCTAAATTCATCTAATGAGATCATTATATGTCTACGTTGTTCAGATTATTATGGCGCAGGCGGTTTTGTTTGACCGTGTGTGTAAATTTGAGGGATACCACTTGCAACCTTGAGACTGTTGATTGAGTTGTTAGTTTTTTTTATTAACAGCATGCATTGTGACATGATTTGTACTCTAGCGGTTTTTTAAACCTGTTTATGGTGGTAGAGTTGAGGTTGAAAACTCCATATAAATCAACATGAACTAGCTCAAGGCCTCTACATATAAGAAACAATTAACACCTTCTTGTGTTTTGTCTGCAATTCTAGGGATATGCTCAAAACTGATATGCTTGTATTAAATTTTTTGTTAAGGTTGGAAGGAGGGTTGTCGGGATGGTGCCCAGTTCTTAATACTTTTTGTTAATCTTCAACATTTTAAAAGGAAAGCTTTGGGGGATTGTTATATCTTATCCTTTAGGATTCTAATTGTATAGATGAGTTTATGCATTAGCCTGTTTGCTACCACTTCAAAGCTAAATGAGATATTCTCCCGCAGATCAAGGCTATCGTGTCTTGCTGCTTTCTGAGCTTGGAAGCATTGCTTCTCTTGATGGATAATGACCATTCCGATGGATAATAGTGTTGACCATTCATCTACTGAGCGGGCTCAATGCCTCTTTAACAAGGTGTGCTTTCTTTCATATAACAGTTGTGTTACTAGACCAGGCATTTTGTTTAGCATGCAAATTGTGGAATAAAGGTATTTGGTATTACTTTTTGTTCTTTAACAGAATGTTGAATTGGAGAATAAGCGCAGGAAAGCAGCACAAGCCAGAATTCCATCTGACCCTAATACATGGCAACAAATGCGTGAAAACTATGAAGCTATTATACTTGAGAACCATGCATTTTCTGAGCAACACGAAATTGAGTATGCATTGTGGCAGTTACATCACAGGAGAATCGATGAATTGCGTGCACACTTGAATGCTGCTTCATCTGCTTCAGGATCAACCACTTCTCAGAATGGTAAAGGTCCTACTAGAGGTGGTCCTGATCGGGTCACAAAGATTCGCATGCAATTCAAGATGTTCCTATCAGAAGCAACAGGATTTTATCATGATTTGATGCTAAAAATCAGGGCAAAATATGGTCTTCCTCTAGGATATTTCTCAGATGATACAGAAACTCATGTTCCGTCATTTAAAGATGGAAATAAATCCGCTGACATGAAGAAAAGCTTAATATCGTGCCATCGATGTCTCATTTACCTGGGTGATCTAGCTCGTTACAAAGGTTTATATGGGGAAGGTGATTCTAAAGCTCGAGACTTCTCAGCAGCATCAAGCTATTACATGCAAGCTTCTTCTCTTTGGCCTGCAAGTGGCAATCCCCACCATCAGGTTCTCTATTCCGTCTTTCTATTTTGACTGTGTAACATGTGCTGGTCTAATGATCTCTAGTAGCTTTCAGTTATTGAATCAATTGGCCAGTTTAACCCAAAATTAAAAAAAATTATTAATTACAATTTTTATGTCTTCAATCTTGATGAAAAGAACTGGCTCAACTCAGCACTGTACCATTACTTTGTATGGTAACAAAGTATTCAAGAGTATCCTAAACCAATTAATAGATGGCTCCTTTTTAGCCTCATCATCTATTAGCTATTATTGAGCTTTTTTTTGCTTCAAAACTCGAGAATAAAATGAAACGTTCTTCAATCCTAATGTAAATCAATGTTTGATTGCTTCGCAGAATGTATTCTCTAGGGTATTTTCCTTTTGTGGTCCCCAGTGACTAATCTATTGTTTACTTTCTCAGCTTGCCATTTTGGCTTTTTACTCGGGTGATGAATTGGTAGCAACCTATCGATATTTTCGAAGTCTTTCTGTGGAGAACCCCTTTACCACTGCAAGGGACAATTTGATTATTGCATTTGAGAAGGTAAACTAGTAAACTGCTCTTCTGGGTTATAACTTTTTGCTCTTTTGGTTTACTAAATAATAAAAGATATGCAAGAGATCAGTATACACTTATTTCCATGATTCCATGAACATCATATGTTTATAAATTCCCCCCTCTTAAGTTTGGGTGATGTTATCACACAAATAGAAATGCTAGAGCTGCAAGTCATGCAGCAAAGCAGTGCAAAATTGAATGTGATTCATAATTTCGCAGAATCGACAGAACTACTCCCAGCTTTTGGGAGATGCTAAATCCTCTGTCAAGGCTGCACCTGCACGAGTGGCTGGAAAAGGAAGAGGTAAGGTTGATACAAGACTTCCACAAAAAGAAGAAAGGCCTGAGACCCATGCACTGAAAGATAAAGCATCAAGTGTTTCTGACGTATTCAAAGTTTTCAGCACAAGATTTGTCCGATTAAATGGGATTCTCTTTACACGAACAAGGTATCTTTATTGTCTCATTCTCACTGATTCTATTATATTTGACATGGCCTTATATTTTTACATTTTATTATTTTTCAACAGCTTGGAGACATTTGGAGAAGTGCTCACTGTGGTTAGAAGTGATTTGGTTGAGCTTCTTTGTTCAGGACCAGATGAGAAATACAACTTTGGTTTGGATGCTGCGGAATGCAGGCTTACAGTGGTTAGGCTTGTTGCTATCCTCATATTCACCGTGTACAACGTGAATAAGGAAGCTGAAAACCAGTCATATGCCGAGATTCTTCAGCGCTCTGTTCTTCTACAAAATGCTTATACAGCTGTTTTCAAGTTCATGGGTCATGTGGTTGAGAGATGTGGTCAGTTGAAAGACCCATCGTCAAGCTATCTACTGCCAGGTGTTATGATTTTTGTTGAATGGTTAGCCTGCCATGAAGATATTGCAGTAGGCAATGAGCTAGGAGAAACACAGGCAAAAGCTAGATCTTTTTTCTGGAACAATTGTATCAACTTTTTAAACAAATTATTGTCTAGCGGGGCAAAGTTCATTGATGAAGAAGATGAGGATGATACATGTTTCTTTAATATGAGCAAGTATGATGAAGCTGAGACCGGTAATCGTCTTGCATTGCCTGAAGACTTTGAACTTAGAGGATTTCTTCCTCTTGTTCCTGCACAACTTATACTTGATTTCTCAAGATCCTACTCATTGGGTGGTGATGTGGGTCGTAAAGAAAAGAAGGTGAGGATCCAGAGGCTTGTAGCAGCTGGGAAGGCTCTTGCCAATGTGGTTAGGGTTGGAGGAGATGGAGTTTACTTCGACACTAAGTCAAAAAAGTTTGTTATTGGCACTAAACCCCAAATTTCAGATGATTGTTGGCTTGATAACACTTCGGAACTTTCAAAATTGAACGGCAATGGACAAGACAACCCAGCTGCTGCTCAAATTCATCCCATAGAATTCCCACCCAATCAACAGTTTTGCACTGAAGGTGAAGAAGAGGAAGATGAAGTGATTGTGTTTAAGCCATCCATGAGCGAAAAACTCACAGATGGATTCACTTCAAATATGGCTGCAGTCCCTGTTACGGCTCCTGTTCTTAACGTATCTTCTGGAGTTAATCTAGGCATTGATGCCGGGCCAATACTTTCCTCTGGGCTTGACGTGTTTCTGCAAAATGGTTTTAATCCTAGCTCAAGGCTGCATGGTCATTCTGGAATAACCCAAACTACTGCTGCTAACAACAATACCCATTATGTGTCATCAATGCAACCAAGCTGTACCATGTGGTCATTGGGACAAAATGGGATTAGCAATGGATTAGCAAACTTGAATCTGATGGAAAATAGTTTTACTAAACCTGAGCCGCATAGTCACTCTGGAATAACCCAAACTACTGCTGCTGCATATTCAGTCGCCTGTCCACAAACTCTGAATTTTACATGTGCTGATAGTAATCCTATCCAGTTAACTGATGGTTACCTACAACCCGCGTTAAGTTCAATTTCAGTTCCTGGGTTGGGCAGCATGTCAATGAGGCCATCTTCAATCACCTCAGCTGGCTCAAAGAAAAATCCAGTTAGTCGGCCCATCAGACACTTGGGTCCACCTCCAGGCTTTGGTTCAGTTGCTTCCAAAGCAATTGATGACTCATCCTCAGCCTCGACATTGATGAATGACATCACACACACTCCTGATGACTATAGTTGGCTTGATGGCTATCAGTTTCCTTCAACAATTCAAGGATCAGGACACAGCAGTTCTATTATTGATCCTTCAATGCATCCATATCAACCTGCTTACAACAACGGCAGTAACTCTGTGGGGATGGTTAGCTTTCCTTTCCCCGGAAAACAAGTGTCATCTTCATTGTATGCCCAGGCTGACAACCAAAATGGCTGGCGAGATTTGCAGATGCCCGAGCAAATGAATGTACTCCAGGAACAACAGCATCAACAACTTCAGCTAGGAAATCAACGTACTGTAGTTCTGCCTCAGCAGTATAAGGTTCAGTCAATGTGGGAAGGTGACCGTTTCTTCGTGTGAGACGAATATTGAATCCTAAACGGTAAGCTAAACTGTCTGCTCTTCTTTGTTATGAAGCAGCAGTCAGTCCATGCAATTTTGGACGCGATTTTCACTATGGGTCATCCGGAAACCGTCTCTCCCTGCTTTAGTACAGGGGTAAGACTGTGTTAATCTGACCCTCCTTACCCCACCGTAGGTGGGAGCCTTTGTGGCACTGGGGTAAATGAAAATGATGAAAATGAAAATGATGAGTTAATTATCCTACCTTTCAAAGCCTACTTTGTTGGAAATTTTTTTCCCTGTTTTTTATTTACAGTTTTGTCTTTACTGTGTTGAATGTCAAATGGTCAGTTGCTATGAAGTTCAGCCATCATGTTTGAGGTGTGGACAGTGTTATTAATGTTTCCTGGATGGTCTTGGATTGTTGCGGGCACCTGCTGTTGAAGAGGTATTTACTTTCTTAATGTCATCCATTTAAAATGATCTCCTCTTGCATTTTTCTATTTCTATAGGGTTTGTTGCAAAGGAAAGACAATAAAAGTGAAAAAGGGGAGAGACATGGAAGGAAATAAGGAATAAAAATTTGGCAATAATATTATTGTTAAAAAATCAAATTCAGTTTTTTTGAACATGTTTTAGTTATAAGCTTCTATTGTACAAATCTAAATATTTGACAGGTATTAAAATATTGTTAAAAAATCAATTTCAGAATTTTTGAACATGTTTTAGTTATATGCTTCTATTATACAAATCTAAATATTTGACAGGTATTAAAATTTTCTAACCAAGTCTAATTTTCTTCTCTATTTGGAGGAAAAAAATGATTTCCTTGCCATTGTTTCCCCTTTACTTTCTATTTTGTATTCACATACATAGTCTGGGGGCTGCGGGGAAACATGCGTCATCGTTTGTTAAATAAAAAACTTGTGTCATGTATGTTTTGCGCTACAAAATGCAGCTTGTGCCGAGCTTTCCAGACTGGATGATGAGTGGAGGTTGTGGCATCAATAGGTGTACAAGAATTGTTAACCGAGCCTCTACCTATAGTTCAGTTGTTACGCACAAGTGAGATATGGTATCAGTATTTTTGGTGGGAAGCTGGGAGGGAATTCGGATGAAAGGGAATTTGTGCAAATCTACCTTCTCGCTGCTGCTGGTGGATAAGTTTGTCTTGAGGATGCGTGCGGTTTGTGGAACAAAAGTGCACACACTGACTGGCAATTCTCATGCCTCCTGCTATAATAAATAATACGACAAGAGCCTTCCGTCAAAGATAATATGAAGGATTTCAAAAATCATGGGTATAACCATGCTTTTAGATTGGAATAAATTTACGATCATTGACTACTTTATTTCGTGATTCTACTTATAATTGCTATTTGGTTTTGGGTATTTCCATCGGTTGGGAATATACTGTTGTTTTAAGACTTGTTTTGCTGCTTGCACTGCTATTATATATACACACATTACGTATTACACTACTTTCTGTAAAGTTTTGATTTGGTTGCCTGTAGTCTTTGCTAGTTCTTTTTGCTGCATTTGCTTTAGTCTTAACCAAGAGCATTGTTCAAGACCTCAAGTCCTCTTCATGTTTGATGCTAAATATACTTGCAACTGAGTTTTAAGTAAAGTTGTGTTAGGGTAGGGGTGGATTCGGGCCGGGTCGGGCCGGGTCGGGCCGCCGGTTCTAGAATAGTGGGCCCGGGACCGGCCCGAGGGTTGGACGGGTCCGGTTCGGGCCGGGCCACCCGCCCGGGTCATGGGTCGGGCCACCCGCCGGGCTGGGTCGGGCCGGGTAATTTTTTTTTAAATTTATATTTTATTCTTTATAGTTTTATACAAGTATTAAAAAACAAACTTCAAGTGCATTTATTTGAAATGAAATAGGAACTACATTTGAAAATTAAATAGGAACTATAATTGTTTTTAATCGGAATCTCCGGCATAAGTAGAGCCACCCTCTGTAGATTCATCCATAAAGTGTTGTGATGGAGTAATTTAAATTTTTGAGCTCTACGTGCTGCTTTCAATCAATCGTGGTAGCATATAAGCATCTCAAGAGATTCAGCGCTCAACCTCGTTCTGGTTTGTGTTAGAACATTGCCGGCCGAACTAAATTCTTGTTCCACGGCAACTGTTGAAACCGGCATTGATAGCACTTGCTTAGCCATCTTTGCTAAAACCGGGAACATTCTTTCTTTTCCCTTCCACCAGTTTAGTACGTCAAAATCATCATCTTCTTCAAAATCAACATCATAAGTTAAATACAAAGAAATCTCATTAATTGTGCTTTGTTGTGTAGCGGGAGTTGATTTTGTTTTTTTAATAAGATTGGCAAACGTAGATTTGAAAATTGATTTTCCTTTAGATGATGTTTGTGTCGGGGGAGGGGGCGCATTGCCATATTGTGCATGAAACTCATTGAATAATGCATAAAATATATCACTAACCTCGTTGTATTCTTTTTTCGGATCAATTGGGTTGTCCTCATACATTGACAATGGACCAAAAAAAGCAGCATAATAATAATTCAAACATTCTTCTAAAGAACCAAGTCTAAAATGAGGATCGAGAACAAATGCAATACCATAAATATGCGGAATATGTGAATAGTATTTTAAAAACTTTTCCTTCATAAAACCAGCAAAATAATTCACATAATCAGCATTCTCAAAATTTGAAAAAGCACCGGCGAGATTAACAGCTTCATGAATAAATTGGTTTGAGGTAGGTTTATAAACATGACTAAAAGTTTCAGTTGCATTATTAAAATATATTAAAGCATTACAAATTTTTTCACAGGTGTCGATCTCAGCCGAGTTTATAATATAGTTATCATATTGTTTCATAAAAGCAGGAAAATGTTGTTTATATCTAAGAAGAACTCCAATTAACTTATAGGTACTATTCCAATGAATAGACAAATCTTTTGGAAAAGCCACATATCTCTCACCTCTTTCTATCAAATAATCATGCCATTTTTTCCTAAGGTGTCCATTACCCCAAATACGTCTAATCCCCCCCTTGACTACCTCCAACGATGCTCCCAACGCTTTTAGACCATCTTGCACACATAAATTTAGAACATGACATGCACATTGTTGATGAAAAAATCTACCCATCAAAGAAGTAGAACCACACAATTCACGCAATCTAGGAATAGCATCAGTATTATTAGTAGCATTATCAAAATCAATAGCAAACACCTTATCAATTAAATTATACTCAATTAAAATACGTTCAATCAAAATATAAATATGTTCAGCGGTGTGACGATCATTAAATTCACGGAAAGCAAGAACACGTTTATGCATATGCCAATCATTATCAATATAATGTACAGTCAGACCCAAATAATGTAAATTATGATAAGTATCCTCCCATATGTCAGAACATACAGTAACACGTCCATCAAAGTTTGCAAAATAATTTTGTAACCTTACCTTTTCCGCACCATAAAGCCTTGAAATTTCTTTCTTAACCGTTTTGCGACTATAACCTCTATATTGCGGATTTAAACAAGTTTGTGCATAATCACGAAAAGCAAGACTTTCAGAAAACAAATAAGGCAAATTTTTTTCAACAAGTAAGTTAGCCATACCTGTCAAATTTTGTGCATCATTGTATGAGAAATTACCAAAAGCTTGTTGGTTATTTGCAAACCTCGATATTTGCGTTTGTTTCCCCGTTCCGCCGCCTAATTTTGCATATTCCACCGGGTGTTTGGACTTAAGGTGTCTTGTGGCGGATCCGTATCCGCCGGAAATCCCCAAGCTATAGTTTTTCTTGCACCAATTGCAAGTTGCGGTCCAATTCCCGGTGTTCGGGTCCTTCCACTTAGAAAAATTATTAGCCATTAATTCAGATTTACTTTTTTTTGTACCTATTTGGGATGAGGCTGCTTGGTCGGCGTCATGGCTGCCGCCACCCTCCTCCTCGTCGTCGTCGTGGCTCTCCGGAATTGCTTCCTCCACATCGTCGTCCTCGTCCTCGAGTTCTTCTTCGTCAATGGTCCTCGGTTGGTCTTGAAAAAAGCGGGAATTATGTCGGTGCAATTCTTGTTCTAGTTGTTCGTCGGTCATCGCATCCCCATCCCTCCTTACGTAACCCGTATCAAAATCATCTTGACTTTGAGATGAAGAGCCGAGATGTGATTTACCTTTGCGGGATCTCTTTCTCGCAAGCTCGTTCGTTCGGTTGCGCTCGAGGTTACCCATATCAACCGAATATCTAGGACGATCCATCTAAAAAATGTAGCAATTAATAAAAAATTGTAAAAAACCAATTAACTATTTATCTAACTATTAATTCGAGTTATAGCAAATTAAGTAGTGAATTAACTAGTTTTGTGTACAACATATTTTTTAAACTAGAGTCAAATGTAGCAATTAATAAAAAATTGTAAATAACTAATTAACTATTTATCTAACTATTAATTCGAGTTATAGCAAATTAAGTAGTGAATTAACTAGTTTTGTGTACAACATACTTTTTAAACTAGAGTCAAATGTAGCAATTAATAAAAAATTGTAAAAAACTAATTAACTATTTATCTAACTATTAATTCGAGTTATAGCAAATTAAGTAGTGAATTAACTAGTTTTGTGTACAACATATTTTTTAAACTAGAGTCAAATGTAGCAATTAATAAAAAATTGTAAAAAACTAATTAACTATTTATCTAACTATTAATTCGAGTTATAGCAAATTAAGTAGTGAATTAACTAGTTTTGTGTACAACATATTTTTTAAACTAGAGTCAAATGTAGCAATTAATAAAAAATTGTAAAAAACTAATTAACTATTTATCTAACTATTAATTCGAGTTATAGCAAATTAAGTAGTGAATTAACTAGTTTTGTGTACAACATATTTTTTAAACTAGAGTCAAATACTCAAATGTAGCAATTAATAAAAAATTGTAATTCCAACTATATTAATAAAAAATCGTAATTCCAACTATACTAATTAACTAGTAATTAAACAAGTATAAATAATAGAATAATTTCGTACCTCTTTCGGACTTTCGGTCTTTCGGATGGGAGTAATAGAATGACTTCAAATTAATTAGATATAATTCCAACTATATTAATAGATATAATAAATATATAAGTAATATATAATTAGATAACAAATATAAGTAATATAATACTATTTATATCTATTTATAGTTTATATAAGTAGATAATTAATATAAACTATAAATAATAAATATAATATATTGGAGAATGGAGAATAAGAGAATTAGAGAGTAGAGAGTTAAGAATAGGATTTAGGAAGAATTGGAGAAGAGATATGAAAAAATGTTTAAGATTAGGAGTATTTATAGGTTTTTTTACCCCCCACCCCCCACCCCCCCCCACCACCCAACCCCCCCGGACCCCCCCTATAACCCACCCAACGGCTATATAGCCGTTTGGGTTGTCCCCAGCCCCACCCCCAACGGCTAGTAGGAGCCCAACCCAATTTTTTTTTTTTAAAAATTTGATCGAATCGGACCCGGGCCCGGGCCCGACCCGGCCGGGCCGGGTCACAAAATTGCTGAACCGAGCCCGCCCCGCTTCTTCCCCCCGGTTCGGGCCCAGACCCGGTCCCGGACCGCCCGACCGGGCCGGTCCCGGGCCCGCACAGTACCGGGCCGGGCCGGGTCACGGGCCGGGTGGCCCGAACCGAATCCATCCCTATGTTAGGGTAGTAAAGGGTAGAATGAAGTAGTTTGATATGAGATAGGGGCAAATGTTGCTTCGTTTCAATTCTAATTATGTTTCTGTAAGAGGTAGCACTGTAGCAGAATGCAAGGGGATGAGTGTAGCTAACCTGTTTTCATATTAGGTTTTAGAGTTAAAATTTTTACCCATTTTCCAGTTGCCATACTGTGCATAAGTGCATTCTTTACCCATGTTCATCCCTTCCTTTCCCTTGAGCCAAACCTAGGCTAAGTTTAAACCTTTGAATTAATTTTTAGACAAATTCAAGTAATGTTTCTAATTATTAGATATTTGCTTTTAATTATCCCACCCCTATCGTTTAGGGGTGGGATTATTAGTCTTTTCATTTCCATTTGCTTTACAAATACTTCCACGTAAAATTAGACTTTTATCCTTTTATTAGTCTTTTCATTTCCATTTGCTTTACAAATATATGATTTTGTATTGTTTTTTGTTTGGTTTCAAATAATTCAAGTCAATCGAGATTTTAGGATTTAAAGCTTTCCAGTTTGTTTTCTGAAAAATATATTCTAATTAGTTCCTTTGGGCTGTCTCAACTTTTAACAATCTAAACTTTATAAGCTTTCCAGTAAAATTTGTTTAATACTCCCTCCGTCCCGGTCATTTCTCTCAATTTTCCTTTTTGGGCCGTCCCAATTAATTCTTCCAACTTCCACTTTTGAAAAAAATATGTGATTCACATTCATTCATCTTTTTCTTACACAACTACAACAATAAAAAAGAATTGCTATTTTTTATTTTTAATTTGTTGGGACAATTAAAAGTCGACCGGTCACGACTCACGACTCACGAGGGACTATTACTGACAAGTGACTTACAAAATTGTCTGCGCTTCTTTGTTATGAAACAATAGTTAGTTAATGCAATTTTCAATGTGATTTTCACTATGAATCATCCGGAAACAGTCTCTATGTCGCTACATCCGACCCCCTTACCTCATTGTAGTCGAGGAGCATTTGTGACATTGGGATAATGATGATGATGAGATTGTGAATAGTTAAGATTATTATTTTCTTTAATTAATTTGGTTGTATAAATCTTTACTAGTCTTCTTTTAAGAAAAATATTACTATATCCACCTCTTCATAGTTAGCCATTTTTGTTTTTTTTTTCTATCAATGATGATAAACTTTGGTCAATCATTTTAGTTAGTGCTCCCTCCGGTCCTAAATATATTTCACACTTTCCTTTTTGGGTAGGTTCAAAATAAACTTCATACTTCTTCAGTTCTTCTCCCTTCCTTATTTGGCAAATTATCTACATCAAAACAGTGCAAAATAGTGTCAAACAGTGCCACTCAGTGTCAAACAGTGTCACAACAGTTTACTCTACAGTAAAGTCAAATTTATTTCCTTAATTTGTGTGAAGTCAAAGTGTGAAGTTTATTTAGGACTGAAGGGAGTATATTTTTTTGTGAAACATATAAATTATATACTTCTGTGATAACATTTCTAATAAAGAACATTTTCATATCATTTTAATTTGATATATGAATATAAAACTGGTCAAAATTTAATATCATTGACTGGAAAAGTCAAAGATAGTTAAGTAAAAAGGGACAGAGTAAGTAGTTTACACTTTTGTACTACTTCCCTTTACTTTCCGTTCACTACTCATCCCCCATCTAAGCCTCCCTACCGCCGTCCAAGCAGGGGCGTAGCTAGGGAGGGGTCAACACTGGCCCCGAGTCCCCGACCCAGCTCAAATTTAAAAAAATGTCTATATTTTTAGTGTAAAAAAATCCGTGTAAATTTTTTCGCAAAAATATTCTTTGTAATGGCTCGGTCCGACCTAGTTCCCTGGCTCCGCCTTGTGTCCAAGCTTGCTTTTTTTGACAGAAGCTTTAATGCAAACAAAAATTGATTCAAGGCATTCAGCCATGTATGTAATATGTTTTCTCATTTTTGTGTGTCTAAATAAGATTACCACTTCATTGTTAACTACGTCAAAAACTAGAGAAAGTGAAAGCTTGTGCAAATATTTTGTTAACAGTTGAATGAGAAATTTGATTATGGTATTACAAATTCTATGTTATTTTGATGAATGCCCTATAATTGTCCAACCCAACATTAAACACATCATAATTACACAATTCCCATTTTCTTGATTTACCTATCACTTAAAATTGACAACTCATTTAGGAATAGAGGTATAAACAATTAAGCTCAATCCAAGAGCGCTTTTTGAGGTAAACTATTAAATAATCAAAAGTGGAGCTAATCAGCTCGGTTAATATAAAAAACCAAGCCTCTGGTTCAATATGGCCTATGTTCTAGACTTGCAAAAGAATGGAAGAAAAAGAACTTATATGTACCCGAAATGAAATTGCAGCAGCAAGGCTTAAAATAAACTACAATCAGAAGATTTCCTAGCAGCCATTTTGCAGTTTCTTCTAAGTATCCTCTGCAAACACCTTGAAAATATAATCCCGAAACCGCCTCGAGTATGCCTTGGGATCAACAGCTGAGATGGAGTTTGGATCACACTGGATTGATTTATATGCATGCTCAAGCTTCTTAGTGATATCATAGTCTTGGAGTATGTCTATGATACTAAAGAACAACACCACTTTATAGCACTCTCCTGTTGGCTCTCCCACCAGCTGCAACTCCCCTTCGCTCTTCCTCTCCGTCCTCTCCACTCTTGCAGGCATGTTTATGCCTAGTTTCACCTCACCTTTCCTGTTTTCACACTCACCGCAAACATTATTACTATTACTCACCATTGGTTCTTATCTACTTCTTCCTCTTTTCTTGGAGTAAGAGTTTAAATATCAATGTTGTTATTCATACCTTGAAGTATCCGAGTTATCCGTATCTTCTTCTTGAGGATTAGATTCATTATCTGAGGCACCACCATCTGCATATAAGTGGTAAGTGTATAGAGACAATGTTGGTTTTTCCTGAGTAATTGGAGTGACTATGGTGATGTTCTATTTAACTATGCTGCAGGTAGGGCGCTAGTTTTATAATGACTGTAGTTACCCTATAATGATATCTTTGTTCAGGAGTTTTGTTTTTAGTAATATTATATGAAAACTTCTATCTAAATTTAAAGTAGCCTAACAATTTATATTTAATTTTTAGATAATGTTTTTATAAAAAAAACTCAGGTTCAACAATATCAATGGCGAAACAGCAAGCACTAGTAAATTAAATGGTCAATAGATTTTTCTAAATGTAAAGATAGATAAGGGGAAAAAACTTCAGAAGAGTGCAGCCTAGTACCGTTGGGCATTAAATCTCCATTGCTGGTGGCTTCTTTGAAATGAACACCAACCAGGAGGCTGTAATCCATAATTCTCTCTTGTTCAAGCAACTCACAGTCCTTGTCAACTTGCCTGCATTACAGTGCTCTTCCCATTACTCTCCGAGTCTCTGACAAATCCCTTAGAAAATGCAAGCAAATAGAATCTCAGTGATGGGGGTTAAGTTGTTACCTTTGGAATTCTTCGAACCATGGGGTTTTTAACCTGAATATGAAGTTGAGATCAAGATCTTTAAGAGTAGTTGTTGAATCAATCTCTGATTCTGGTTTATCTGTTAACCGCCCAAATGTTGACCCTTTGAGGTCGAACCGCCTATGAATTGTGTAATTTGCGCAGAAGAGATTCCCCATTATGACAAACCTCACCTAAACCATGCTAACTAGATGAAGAAAGTTTTTGTTTAATGAAGATGAAATGAATGAACTAAATTGAATGTTGGTTCACCTTCTTTTGGGTCGGGCCATTTAGCTTCAAACAGTGCAACCCGAAGTATTTGGTAATAAGGGTGTTATCCAGACCATGCACATGATTATAGTATGAATTTAGCATCCTTATTAGTACCTAGAAGCAAACCCACATACAAGATCAATGATGAAAATCAATGGAACGAGGATATTAAAGTCGGGTTTCGGGCAATGTCTCACTTTGACTTCCGCCTTCTTCAGCGTTTTGATCATGTAACGGTCGTCATTTGTCAAGTAGAAAAAGCTTCCACTCTTTCCGGGAGAAGAGAGCTCCCGGAGAGCATCGTTTCCACATATGGAGTTTATGTAATCATCTGGTTCCACCTTGAATAACAATCTTAAAGCCCTGTAAAACAGAGATATAGCGCTAAAACTGAGTCCTAACGCCTAGGAAAATTTTAGTTCAGTGTAGGCTACACTGGAGTAATAATAATTTGGAGACCGTCAAGGGAGTGAGTGAGAATGAGTTTGTCTTGCCTGTTTAAACCAAAAGACCATAAAGTAAACAAAATCATTTCCCGGGCTTAATGTGTCCCACAAAGAGACACATTAAGTGCGTTCAGTAAAAAGGCCTTACTTACAAAGGGTTAGACATTGTAAGTAAAAAGGCCTTAGAGTAAACAAAGCGCCTTCATTCACTAATTACAACATCTCAAGTTTGAAAGTAAAAAGGCCCTACAATGGCTATGCTTTGCTAACTAGTTTGGGGTCAGGCAAGACCTAAAACAGGTCAACTCATCATATAACTAGGTTGTCTAACATATTTCCATCCATATAAGTAAGGGCCCAGACATAAGGCCTATACACATCCAAGTGGATATTTTTAGAACATCGACATCAAACATGAGGCGTTAGGAGCATATATGGTGGCTATACCTGAAAACTTTTGGACAATAATCCTTCCATCTGAAATCACATGACTGAAATGGCAACATACTTTTGGATCCATCTGGTGAAATCTTAGACCAATACTTCTCCTTGGGATCGAATGCTGATGGTTTGAGATCCAATGTCGCTGCAGCCCCGTGCTTGCCAACTGAATGCCTAATAAGTTAGTTTCAAACACGTCAGATCAGTGGCACAGCCAGAAAATTAGTATTATGGGAGCCAATGTTTGAAAACACTATGAGGGCCGAAAGTTCACAATCGAAGCCTTCTTTATATAGATTTTAAATGCAGGAAATTCCTCAAATAAGACTAAAACATTACACATTTACTCAAATAGGCCTACCATTGTTTTTTTTCCTGAAATGGGAAAGAAGTGTGAAGAAAACAACAGCTACATACCTGATCCCCATCTGCAAATTCTGCATCAGTTCATAACTCTTGTGCCCTTTACAGATAGTCTCGCCTTGTTTTTTAACAATCTTGGGAATTCTAAGAGTGTTCCTTCTCAATATGGTATCTTCTTGCTGCTGAGTACCGACAAAGGTGTCGTCTGGAGCACAGAAGATGCTCGTTGGCGTCCCAGCACAATCTGACAACCTCATTCCTGCAAACTCTTTATCAACAGCAGCATCTAATCTCCCATCAGCTGACATTCTCCTATGCTTCGCTGCCATGTTTGCGGATTTCCAATCTGCAAGCTTTTGAGAAGGGAAAACTGTGACTTTGTCAATGGGACAAACCTTACATTCCTTCAGTTCATGACTATAAACATCCCCAGGAGTCCATTCTTGGCGATTATCCTCACCTTCTGAAGCAGCAGAATGGTAAGTTCCATTCTGCTCTTCAGCTGAATCATTGCTCCAATTTCCTTCATAGTAACTGTCATCTGCCCATCGGTATATCCCGTTTCCCTTGGGCAGCCCATCTTCCCATATCCCTTCGTACATATTCCCGTTAGTCCAATACATATTTCCCCGGCCCGAAATCTTCCCAGACTTCCATTCTCCGACATAGTAGTTCCCGTTCTTCCACGTGTACCTCCCCTGCCCTTCTTGCAATCCTCTGCTCCATTCCCCATTGTAAGTGTCCCCATTGGTGTATTCCTTCACCCCAAGGCCGTGTTTCATGTTCATCACCCACGAGCCTCTGAAGGTGTCGCCGTTGGGGCCGGTATAGGTCCCATCACCGTCCAAATACCCGCTCTTGAAATGTCCCTCGTATATAGCCCCCGACGGCCAGCTGAAGGTTCCCTTCCCCATCGGCTTCCCGCGAAACCAATCGCCGACGTACATGCAGCCGTCGGTCCACCAGTACTTGCCCTGCCCGTGTGGGGCTTCGTCGGCCCACTGCCCGGTGTAGTAATCGCCGTTGGGGAGAAACCTGTCGGCGTGGTACACCTCTCCGTTTGCATGCCCGCAGTTGAGGACGACGACGGCGACTGCCTCATCCTGGTCATCGTCGATGACGTCGTTGAGTTCCTCTACGGTGGAGCCTCCGTAAGTGCCGAATATCGTGTGGGCTCGTCTCCGGGCCGCCGCCTGCGTCTTCCTCACCGTTGCCTCCCACGCCTTCATCACATAGATGTTTTAATTAATTATATTTCCCCTGTTTTGGACAGATATTTCTCAAGTTGAAAACGGATTATGGATAATAGAAACTTTAATTTTGTATGTTTTGTATAATCTGCATTTGTTAAACTACGTACGCCAACCATGCAAAAGACGGAGAAGACAGAAAAACACTCCTGTCTTCCATTTTTCTTTGTTTCCCTCCGACTTCTTCGCCTTATCATCTCCTATGTCCTCTAATAAGATCTTTTCAAAAAAAAAATTGTTCTTGTATGATCTCAATTAATATGGTACTAGTATTTGTACTCGTGCACTACATGCTTCAAGTCTTTTATTAAAATTGTAGGAGAAATGAATTGTGGGTGAATGAATTAGACTTAACATTCTTTTTACATTATTGTGTGTGAATAGAAATATGCGCCATCGTAAATACAAAAATGCAGTGATATTTCTGTAAATAAATTCAACCTTTCCTGTACATTTAAAGTCTAGATTATTTTAACTATAAGCATATTGTGTACCTCAATTAAAAATAATGTGCATCATTTGAGATCACTCTCATCATTTGAGACCATTAGGCAGTTAGATGATCGAAGCTATGAAAAACGTAATTGGTTAAGATCGGAGAGTGCTAACCCATTCAACAACGTGAAAATTAATTGCGAAGAAAATATAAATAAATATGAGAAAAAAAATTGAATCTACCCTTCGACATTGATTTGGTAGAGCTTGTGAATTAATAAATAGATAAGTAACGCTACCTCCGGCCCAAAAAACTTTCCAATTTTTAAAACTTTGAACAAGTATATCTTTTTATTGGAAATGATTTATAATATGAAAATGTTCTTTGTTAAAAATACATTCACAAAAGTATAAAATTTATAATTTTCATAATATTATAATAATCAAAATTATGATCCAAATTTTATAAAACGACGACAAAGTTTTTTGGAACGGATGTAGTATCACATTTGTCCCATTAAGATTGAGATTGTGCAGCTATTAAAAAAGAGTTTTTCTAGCTAATGTTGAAATGAAAAAGTAGAGACAATAATGTAAGAATGATTTAGAACTACACATGTATTATAATATTTGGAGCTACACAAACTTAGTAAATGAAAGAAAATGGAAATGTCGGAGAAAATTAATGAAATAGAGGATGTGTTATTTATCAAATTTTGGAAAGAAATAGTAGTAAGAAACAATTTATAAAATCCAATTATGTCAATGACACCTATGGTACTCGACTTTAACTTTTTTCACTTTTAGTTCTTCCAATATTGTGCGAAAGACATTTTTGGTACCTGTCTTTGAAAATGTCCACATTTAGTTCTTCAATTTTCATAAAATTGACACTTTTGGTCATTCAACTATTATAGTACTCACATTTTTAGTTCTCCACTTATTGTGTTAAAATCATAGTGAAAGGACTAAGAGTGTCAATTTGATAATACCCATAGGACTAAATGTGAAAAACTGTAAAGTCAAGGACTAACGGCGTCTCTCGCACAATAGTCAGGGACTAAAAATGGAAAAATTGAAAGTCGAGTACCAAAAGTGTTACTGACACAATAGTTGAGGGACCGAAAGCGGCAAAAACTCTTTATTTAATAGCGGCTAAAAATTGTTAACCATTTTTATTTTTGAGTATTTGGATTTTGTAATACCGGCTAGTGCAAAAATTGACCTAATTTTATATAGAACATTAAAACAAATATATACACATTTATTAATCTAAATACATATATACTACGTTACGTATAATATTGGAATACATAAGACTAGAGTTTTGTAAGTTAAATAGCTTTTGATTTAATTTATTGTGTAGCTACATGTCATTTTTTCATACAAATAATGTTGCCACATGTCAATAGTTCTTCTAAAGAGTTATTCAAGGGATTTCTTTATTATATTCTACAGATCAATTAGGTGTACTTTAATATACATATGGATTTTCAAAATATGGAGTAATTACTCAATTAAATTTAGACAATGCTTTTTACTAAATTACTATGTACATGACATGAAAAAGTTACTATATGTGCATAACTTTGAAAATAACTGGAATATAAAATTGAATGTAATGAAAATAGTCACTGAAAATTACTAACACAGTTACTTTGTAATGAGTATAAGAGTTCACATTTTTGTTTGTCATCTTTATTTTAGTTAGATACATGTGATTATTTCTTCTAATAGTATGGACTATGGTGTCTCTAATTTTTGTAAGTCTAATAAAGTGTGATATGGTTTGATTTGAGATTGAGCTTACTAAAATTGAAAACAGTCTCTAAAACAAATTGTTCAAAACAAGGAATAAAATGTATACAAAGTTTTTATACAGAAGTAAATATAATTTCTTTCCAAAATAGGACTTATGTAGTCATTTGAAAAGAATAAAACATTAAGAATATCCAAAAAGAGTGAATGAGTACTATTTTGGAAAAAAGACAATGAAACACAATGATTATAATAATATGTAGTATAAATTTGTGAAAATTATAAAAATATACATTTAGGAAATGTATCTTCAATTAGAGCTTAATGTCTTTAACAAAAAATGTAGAAACATGTGTAAATACATTGTACTGTGATAACATCATTGTTGATCTTTTAAAGATGAGGTCATTGATTTGAGTCTCATTCTAGCAATATCTTGAACATACACTATGATAGGTTTAGAAAGATACTCAAAAAATGTCAAAATGTCATAAACCGCTTTTGTTGGGCGGTAGAAATAATAGTCCTATTGGGCTCATGGCATACGTAGAATGGGTTGCGCTACCACCAAGTTAAAAATGTGCATGTGAATAAATGGACTATTATATATACATACTAGTATCTTTACTCGTACCGTGCACATGATAAAATGATTTTGGATTTTTAGTTTTAATATGTGCGCGCGCATTGTCATATACATATGAGTTATTATAGCTAATGGAAATTCACGTATTTAGTCGATCATCTTTATCTAAACAAGTAAAATTGCTCAATGCCTATTTTTATCCATTAAATTTTATTCGTGGTGTACAGTTTTCTCAAAACTAACTACACATTTTTGTAATTTATTTAAATAGTAGGTCATGCCATTGCGCAATATTATCCCTCTTTCTATTGATTTCTCTTGATGGAGTATATGGCCCGGGAACCCCCGGTCCACAGACTCCTACTACTCCAATAAAGGCCCAATAGGCCCAGAAAGCACAACATGCCCAAATCACAGCGTCCAGAGTACCAAGCGGCCCACAGTGCACACCAGGAGTGCCTTTGGCCCCCTGGCCGAAGGCTCCAATTCTCACAGGATGGCCAAATCAGGAAAACAAGGTTACTGGGAGAAAACGGCGAAAATCAGTAGCCCTCGACACCTAGAGCCCTCGGCACTAAGGGGGTCCCCGATGCTCAGAGCCCTCGGCTAGTCATCTACAACCGAGGGCACCTTTTCCGACATGATATCCGCTCCACATGCGTATGGATCACCGTACCAAGTACGACGTCACATCCAACAGCCGCATTAAATGCGGCCACATGCGATTGCCAGCGCCAACCAGTTGAGGTGATCCCTCGACCAATGGATGCTTGACACGTGTCCCTGTCTGACATTTATTGCTACTATAAATAGCACCTCATTTCCCCGTTTGTAAGAGAGAGGCAAATACGCTGAAAACGCTGAATACACTTTCTAATATATTCTCTCTCTCTCTGCTTACTTGCTCTGACTTCTCTCTAGTCATTCCCCGTAATAACCCCTCGGATAAGTTACCCCCCGGGTACACTTTCCATCATCTCTTTTACTAATTTCTCCTTATATTTTAGAAACTTTCATACTCTATGTATATGATGACTTTGGATGTTTCTACTTGAACTATAATTTGGTGGTCTAGTCTGGTCTATTTAAGTCTGGTCTGGCCTGGTAAACGTCTGGTCTCTGTGTATTTTATAACTGCAAAGGTCAAGTCTGGTCTGGTCTGGTCTGTTTAAGTCAAGTCTGGTATGATCTGGTATGTCTAAGTCTAATCTGGGAATGAAAACAGTCCAAGTAAAAACATCCTTTTTCAATCTTTTTATCCTCATATTTAAAGCAAATACGTAGTTTCGTTTAAAAAAAGATGACATTGTTTAGGATGTTATTTAGATAATTCTCTTAAGTATTACGATTCATGATATAAAATGTTAATGCGCGTAGTATGTGTTAGTATATATGTCCTAGCGACAATCACTTTTTTGAGATATATGTATTTGATCACATTCAGTTTTTATATATTTGATATATACGGTATTACACATTAATGATTAAGTATTTCGATTGTCAATATCTTATTCATAATTGTGTTCCCTTGGACTTATGTTGTCAATAAGTAAGTGGGAGCTTATATGATATAACATAAAGTCCTAAAATAACCCCAATCAATGATGATGAAACGGTTAGCAACACAAGAGGGGGGGGGGGGGGGGGGGGGGGGTGAATTGTGTGTGTGTGGAACCGTGGCAGTTTTTCGCACAGTTCTAGTGTGGGGTCCAGAGAATTACGAAATAGTAAAGTGCACAAGGATTTAACGAGGAAAAATCCCTTGGCTCAAAGGGATTAAAAAACCTCGACCTCCCTCGGAGGAATTTGAACAACTCCACTAAAAAGCCTTTGAATGATTACAAGGGAAACTCTCCTAGTCTACCCTTGAGCCACCCCAACTCTATCCTCTCTAGGAAGAGTTATGCATCTCTACCTTGCGGGTAGAGAGCCTCCCAGCTTTACAACAAAGCTCTCACAACACACTAACCAACCCGAGGATGCTACACTTAGCCAATCCTCAAAAACCCAATTACAATATGAAGAAGGGAAAAAGAAACTCTGTCTGGAACTCCGTGAGCAGGTTCAGGTGCCTTGGACTTAGTGAATATTCTCGTGTATATTTTTCACTAGAAGCTCGGTCAAGCACACACCTTTCGTCTGGTCTTCAGTCCAATATATATAGCATCCGTAGCCTCTCCTTTTCTTGGTTGAATATTTGGACTTTCCTTGATGTTATTTAAAAACCTTTCCTTTTATTCAAAGATCTTCGGGCTCTCCAATATGGTGATCCTCGGTCAACCATATATATATGGAAGCAAGTGGATACGTGCATACTATGAGTAAATCACGAC